GCTGGGGCGTCCCGGGGGAGCAGGTTCGCTGCCGAGCCGGGGGCAGCTCAAACCCCCCAGAGAGGTGAGATGTGTCCTCTGCCTAATGCTTCAACTCTAAAGGCCTAGGTTTTATTCTGGTAAATGAGAGATTTCATGGGAAATTTTGCACTTCCTTTGTAATTTAGGTCACTTCTTGAAGTTTAAAAAAAAAATAATTACAGTATTTTATATTAAATTTTTTTAAATGACCCAAGTAATTCTTCCATGGAAAAATCTTCCTCCCAGCTGTACCCCTGAGAGCACCAAGCCGTACCAAACACACCCCTTGAACCTTTTTCCCTGGGGAAAAAAACCACACCAAAAAACCCCAGCTGGTCCTTACCGGCTCAATAATCGCAGGCTCCCCCTTCTGTCCTTTCTCGCCCCGCGGGCCACCGATCTGTAGCACACAAGGGAAACACAAAGCCAGACAGTCAAAGCGGACATTGCCTGCATCAGCGTCACCACCCCGAGCAGAAACCGGAGATCTCGGGACAACTTCTGCAACCAAAGGACCACTGATGTTCGTGCAGGAAAGAAACGGGGCACCTCCGCCTCGCAGCGCAGGTGGGTGACTCCGAGCGAGTTGCTCTCACTGGGTTTTGCATCGCCAGTCCCTCTGCTATCATTACGGGAAGACAAACGTTTTGAGCTAGGCTGACCCTCGACGGAAAAGGCACGCTCTTACCCCTTCGTAGACGGTGTCCTGGTTAGCAGGCATGCCGGGGCCAATGTCGGGAGAGACCGTTCGGTCGTAATAGTTATCGTAATAATTCCCGTCATATTCTTTTATCGTTTCCTCCGTGAAATCTTTATCCAGGTCGTCTCCTCCTTGAGCAGCCTGGAAGCAAAAGAGCAGCAACACGTCAGCCTGCAAATCCCTCTAAGGCTGCACACGCTGGAAATCTAAGGGGAAGACTGTGGGTTTTGCAAAGAGAAGAAGCTTTATGATAATAGTTGCGAATAAAAAGCACAAGAAAAGTTAAAGTCTGGAGTTTTAAGGTCTCCAGTGACCTCCAAGGGTCTTCTCCAATGGCGGGCAAGGAGGACAGGGGGATCTTTACGTCAAAGCACACACCCTGGCTTTCCCCAGGATTTCTCTGTCGACCCCTGAAACAACACTGCGAGTGCAAAAGTTTGAGTGAGGAAAACAAAACACGGCACAAAGCAACAGCTGACAACAACACTAAAGGTCTAAAGAAAGAGGGAACGGAAGTTTCAGACTCCAAGCCCTACTCATCTCTCACAGCCTCAGTACTGCAGACACTGGATTATTTAGCGTAAAAAGTCACCCATCCAGTCACATATTTAAAATGCACATCAAAACCAACAATGTGTCATTGTGAGTATCCGATTACAGGAGGAAATGTGGAAAAATCCAAGTTTGCTTCTACAAAAACTGTGTTACGGACCACAAGCAAGGAAATCTAGACAAGTACCAGAACTTCCTTGCTGCTCTCCATACTCCTGTGCTTTCTGTAGCCTGGCGGGCAACCGTCCCTTGGCATCCTTTAGTCTGAACAGCATGGTAAAGAAGAACATGTGCTGATAGGGAGGTTTGTTGTTGTTGTTTTTTTACCCATCCAGATAATGACCAAAATGGTCCATAAATTGAATTATTTCCAGTCCTTCCCAGAGAAATTATTTCCTCACTACTATGAATTCAAAATCACTGAAATGCCACCACCACTTGCAGACTTTGTTGCTGTGCCAACATTACTCAGAACTCATAAGCATGAGCATCTGTATCCAAATGCAAGAGATTTTAAAGTCAGAATAAGCCTCATGCTAAGGCAATCCCTCATCGGCCACCCCACCTTCTTTTACCTCTGCAAATACCAAGCGGTCTCTGCAGAAATTACAGTTTGGCAATTACTCAGAAAACTTGGAAAAGTTAGCATTATTTTTCCTTTGTGCCATTCACATGGAGCTAGTGCTATCGCACGCATCTTTTACCCTGCTTGAAATCTTTCATCTAGGTTTGCACTTTGAAACCTTAAAACCTGTTTATCTTGCTACAAGGCTTTTGGGGATAACATAGCAAGCTCTTTTCAAATTGTCATTTCTTGACACCAATGTCAAAAATGTCTGGTTTGATATTTTGATTAAGATCCCCAAGTCAATTTGCATGGAAAGAGAAGATATTTTGAATAACCGGGCAGAGAAGGAGGAAAGTTCTCCATGCTGAGATTTGCAGGTGCTTTGGAGAAAAACCAAAACAAAAGCCTAAAAATAATCTCCTTAACAATGCTGTCAGACACCCTGCATCAGAAAACAGTCCACAAAGAAAAGAGGAGGTCAAAAAGAAAAATCGATGTGCAAAAAACTGGGAACAGCCTCATTTAAATCACCTTTTAGTCTTCCCTTTAGAGAAAGCGATGCAGATATGAAGCCCTGGTATGTGCATCCAGACAAGTAAAGCAAACTGCCTGATGAATAGCAGGCAACGAACAAAATGTATCTGTCCCCAGCTCCTCTTGTTCAGGGGAGTGTTGCTGCCTACTAAATCTCAGAATTGCTTCACCGGCATTTATCACGGAGTTATTAGCCATAATGAAACCCAAGCCCAGGAGAGTTCTGTGACTACGCTGCCTCCAAAACCGCTCGCACAGGCTCCAAAGGTTTCCCTTCTGTACAACTAAATCCCCCTTTAATTCTCGTTGTAGGAATTAGAGTCTTCCCAAAATACAGACAGGTGAACTTCAACAGCGACAGCCACGCCGCGCTCTTGCAGCAGGTCTGTGACAGGATGCTAAAAACTCCCATTCTGCCCCAGACCGACGTCGTCCTGTTTGATCCCAGGACCGACAGCGAGCAGTGCCGGGGCTGGCACCGCCGGCAGCTCGGGGGACGCCCGGTGTCCCAGCCCACCCCTTCTCCTGTGCAACAGCACGGGGGGGGGTCCGGCTGCCAACAGAAACCTGCCACAACTTGCAATTACAACACCACTGGGGGGGGGTTCCGGCTGCCAACAGAAACCTGCCACCACTTGAAATTACACCACACTTCCTCCTGATCATGAGCATTATTTTTTTCCCTAAACTAGTCAAAAAACTTATGAGAGGTCTTCCCCCCCCCCCCCGCCCAAAGAACAAATCAACTTCTCCAACCACTTTAGCAGGCTGTACCTCCCGCTGAAACCCTGTTTCTGATAACAGGTATTAGGCAGGCAACTGCACGCACCAGCTCCTGATCCTCACTTCCACACTGCTCGTAAAGCAGCTTGGTCTGCTGCTGGATTAAAGGATTTGGTTTCCCCAGGAGTTCGCGGCCGCAGGCAGGGCCCTTAGCTCCCACCCCAAGCGTAAACCTGAAATCCATATCCTCGTGGGTATTCGTCCCTCAGGCTGGCACTTTTTGGGAGTCTTTGCTATGTCACACTGCGTTAGCCCTCGCCTCGCTGCATGGGAATCTCCCTTGGCCGGGCACGTTGTGTCCTTTCCTCTGCTCACCAGCTAAAAGATCCACTGGAGCAACTGGAGAAGCTGGAGCGACCCTCCCACTGCAGGAGCAGTCAGCTCTGCAGCCCTCCCCATCCCAACACCGTCTCTTCTGGAGCTGCAGGACAGGACGGTTCGCACCACCTCCCTGCGAGATGCTCTGCTGAAGGAAGGCTGAGCTTCCACGGAGGAAAGCTTCGCCGTGCGCGTCCCTATCTGAACTTCCCTTCCCTTCTATTTCCTTTTCCCAACAACTAAAGTGGCCCTGAAGCCTCCTATTTCCTCTTGCAATTTTTTTTTTTTTAAGGTCACGCTATCCAACCTTTAATTCCACTCTATTAGAAAGTTCAAGCTTGGCCAAAGATTTCTGGCTCTTTGTCAGGAAACGGAAAAGTTTCCCATCCACGAGTTCCCTCAGGTTGGCGCTCACATCCTCGATACGCTGGAGCCTTTTCTGTTTCTCTCTGCGTATCATTTTGGGCTGCTCAACCTCCTCCTCCTCCCCTGCATTTTTTAGCCCCCGTTGGCTGGACTCGATCCCCGCCACACCACCGGCCCTCGGGGCGGCTGGCTCCCTCCTGCCTCGCTCCAGCTGCTCAACTCTTTGCTTGGACACGTTCCCCGACACCTTTTCATTCAAGCTTCCAGGTCCAACTCCAAGTATGTTGGCCAACTTTCACCGTCTCTATTGCCACCTCTCCAGCGCCTTGAATTTTGACAGTCCCATAACCAAGTAGTTCTTCTCCATTTGAGGAGGAACCACAAAACTCTGGCAAGTCCCATCCTACCTCCCAGGAAACATCATCCCACCATCAACTCCCCTTGCTGATGCTCCTGGATAACAAAGAACTTGCCTCATCTAACGTAGTTATTTCCTTGTGCGGTGAGCTATACAGCACGCAGCTGCACAACAGTTTATCCCAGTCTCATCGAAGGACGAGACCAATGTTCGTCTATTTAAGCACCAATAGAAAAGGCGAGAACTGGGCAAGTCTTAAGGATAGAAGAGTCTCAAGTGCAACATATTTCAGTTGAAGCATATTCAAAATGTAATCGCTCCAACAGAAACGCCAGCTGTGGGATCTGGACTGATCTCATCTTTGAGCAGATCTGTGCACAAAACGGAGGGGCTCTCTCTGGGTGAATGCAGTACTTCGAAACTAAGGGTTTGTCCCGCTGTTGAATGTGGGGTTTTTGTAAATCACAATCTGAAAAACATAAAGATGCTATTCGGTAGGAATGACAAAATGAAAAATACTGATGTTCTCCATCAAATCAACATTTTAAGGATATATACTGATAGCTTCGAAATAAAATGCTTTTACTTGGATTTTAACACCAACCCTCATTTTTATTTTTGTCGGACAAGCACTTCACATAGGGAAGTGCAGATGTCAATATGAACAGGTTTTTCCAGGGGAATAATCCTTAACCAATTTCTAAGTATGTGTGTTCCACGCCCTGAGAAATCTGGAGTGAAAATACTTTACAAGAAACTTCCTCTCCCAACAGCTGCCCAAACCACTTACAGATTTACCATATGGACGATCACATCTCCTTTGCTCTCAGGGCTATGAAATACCAGAATTAATAAAAAACAAAGTGAAAGGAAAAAACATTCATCAAAATTACATCGGTCTCATTGTAGGTGACAACGGTACTCGTGGGGAGTTCAGCTTCCACGGCGTTTTCGGTGAGTCCGCCCTGGGGGTCTACTTCTTCGTTGTAGTTGACATCTTCATAGGGGAGAGGCGTGAAGTACTCTTCGTTAATGGTTTCATAGTTATACTCATCCACGAGAGGATCATCCACCGGAGCATCCCCTTTCGTCCGCTTGCCGGGGTCCCCTCCATCAGGTAACGGCGTGGGGGCAGGATAGTCCTATTGCAGAAACAAAATGCCAGAATTAGAGAAACAGAGAGAAAATTCTGCCCCACCCTCCAGCTCCCCGTCTCTTACAAAGGTGCCATTTATCAAACGCATCCTTGCCAGGACCCCGCGCCGGTACCTGCTTGGTTTCAGGTCTCTCTCCAGCAGCTACTTCGGGAGCGCCGGGTTTGGTGGTGGGTGCTTCTGGCTTTACAGCTTCATCTACATCCTCATAGTAGGGGTACTCGTAGTAGTAGGTGTCACCTTCTCCTTCCCCGTCGGTGTACTGCAAAGAGAAGACAAGAAGCGGGAAATAAGCACGTTCCTGCCAGCTCGTTTAGACATCATTTCACGTCAACAGGGCACGCTGTGGCACAGACGTGTGCAGCGATATCTTTCCCTTCCTCTCGTTCATCGGCTGGTGAGACTCCGTCACCGAGAGCCTGGCTTTGGGCTGCTTTGGCAATGGCTGTGGTTGGAGGAGGTTCCAACAACCTCTTGGTCCTGTGGCACGTCCTCCCTTCTCAGCAGGGATGGACCTACCCTGCAGCAATTCAGTCACCCACGATAACACAATAAAAAACCAAAAAAACATTTTTTTTTTTAACCTCAGATTGTTGAGACCTCCCAGGTCACGCATCTGACATATTCAGAGAGGGGAAGAAAACGTTTGAATCACACAGCCGCTCTGAGAAGCGGGGATGCTATTTTTACTCATCCGACTGCACTAATAGCATCCGTGTGACTCCCCATCCACCCGCGGCCCGCAGGCAGAAGGGCTTCAAACCCAAGATATTTTCAGAGTTTTCCACAAGGCGTCAGTCATTCTTCAAAATGAAATACAAACAAAACATTTGGTTACAGCCGGGCACAGCAAATTTCTTCGCCAGTCCATCGCACTCACTGGCAGCAGACACCAGCACGTGGAAGAGTTATTCTTACACGGAGCAACGCAGCCCTAAGACAAGCCAGCCCTTGTTGAACTGCTGGCTCCGAAAGCAGAGTTTTATTTTCTTACTACCATGTATTTTGACCATACCAAAGCCTGTTTTATTTTACTTATTTATTGTTTCTCCAGAAGCGCTGGCAGAGCGGTTACGGCACTTCCCCAGGGCTGGGCGGCTGTGCCTCGCCTGGGAGCATCGCTCTGCTCCCCAGAGCCCTGCTAGGCGCAGGTTTGTAATTCAAGCCCTAAGCTAAGCCAGAGTGGGTTGATGGCATTGCAGCTTCGGGAGGATTCGGCAGGAACCCACGGATCTGAGACCAGCTGAAAGCAAGAGACCGGCAAATCAGACCAAAAGAGCAGCCGAGATGCAGAGAAGCAGCTGAGGATGCCAGATACTTATTGCTCTGATAAACGTGTAAAATTCAGGTGATGCTCCTCTGGAAATCAGCCACACCCAGACATTTCTAATTGAGCAGCAGAAATAAAAGGTATCCTGTATTAGGGGTTTTTTTCTTTCTTTCTTTCTTTTGTTTTTTTAAAAGAAAAGACCTGAGGTTAACTCTTTGTAGAAAAAACATTGAGCACAGCAGCTTATACAGATGAGCTGGGAGCATTTCTGCCAAAATGAAATTCAAAGTGCAAATACATAGGCAAAAATGTTTTCCCCTCCTTTAACACCTGTTGTTTCAAAGATTATTGAAAAAGAACCGCTTAATCTTTTTAAAAGTTCAACAATAAAATTTAAAATTTAGAAACAGGTGCCTGGTTTGGACAGGGAAGGTCAGTATTCCACACTCGGCTCAGGTTGTCTCTCCTGCAAGTTTTCGAGCTCCAAGCAAATATTCATTCAGTCCCTGGAAACGGGAGGAGCGCAGAAAAGGAAGGGAAACTCCTGAGGGCAAGAGCCAAGACTATAACCTGCAAATCTTAAAAACAAGCTCTGTCTCAGGTCTTACAGACGAGTCGCAGGGATGGTGGACAGGAGGAAGAGCATGTTTTGCAACCGTGGTGTGGAGCCAGATGCTGCTGCCCCAAAAGCATCCCCATCCCCGGGTCTCCCTGGCCCGCGAGAGACACTTACGTATTCATCCTGGTTGGGGTCCTGGGACTGGGGGGAGTCGGGGATGGCGGTGTCGCAGTCGGGGCTGTAGTGTTCGCAGTAATCGTGGGCTGCTCGGGGGTCCGCCACGATCAGGAGCTGCTGGATGTCGCCCTGCGGGGAAGGAAAGCGAGAGGGTCAGGGAGATGGATGGTGCACGTGGAGCCACCAGCCTCAGACCGCAGTCAAGGGGTATAAAACACCGCCAAGAAATGAAAAGCGAAACACTGGGCAGGGTGACCTCCCTGGCATGGGCACGTCACCCGAGATGAGCCAGGCGAAAACTCTCTGTGCCCAGGGTCGGGTCGAGCAGCCGCTTACCTCGGGCTGCTCCGGGAGGTGTGAAGCCATCACGCTTCACACCTGCTCCCAGATGCACCTTCCCAAAAGATAACCACATCTGCAGAGATGTCACCCCCGTGCCTACAATACAACAGCTGACAGCCCCTGGGCAAGGTGGGCGCAGGAAAAATAAGAGAGAAGGGCTCTACGCACCCCAAAGCAGCAGTGTCCTGTGGACAATAAACAAACTCCTTCTCTGCCTGGTCCCGAGCAGCTCTGCAGGGCTCTGGAGTTGCCCTTCCCAGTCCAAAAAGCCGTTTATTTACCTCAAAACCTTTCTGCTTCCCCCACCCCATCAGCTGGTCTCACAGAAGACGTCACCCTTCCTTTCTACATCTTGCCTCACCTCGATTTTCCACCCAAACCAGTGTAGCAGACATAGAAAGACATTAGAAATGCATCTGATAATCAGAAAAAGAGAAAAGAGGGAAGGGGTTTGCAGCGGCTTATTGAAAACCAGGCGCAGAGCAAGTTCATTAGGCACCGAGGCTGCTTAACGGGCCACTCGCTACATAGCGAACGAAGCAGCCGCAGCCCAAAGGTCGGAGCTGAAATCGCTCTTTAGTTCCCTGAAGAACCACTGCATCACTTACCCGTAATGCCAAAACCCCGTTTATTCAGTAGACAGTTACATAAGACAAGACTTTACTACTTGGACTACTAGAGCTGATACTTTAATTAGAGGGGAAAAAAAACCCAACTTTTTTAATAATAGAAAAATACAGCTAAGCCATCAGGGGAAAAAGAAGGAGCATTACTGCAAAACTGGGAGGATGACTTGGGCACCTAATAGGAACCAGAAGCTCCAAACAGAGTCTGGCCAGACTGGCAAACAGCTCCATGGAAAACCAAAGAATATTTGCAAAATCACAGGCCAAATCTGCCTTTGTTCATACAAGCTGCGCTCGGTCCGGCGACGGGTGCCGCTGGGTCCATGGGGAGCTCAGCCTCCCGTGAACACATACCACTGACTTCACCAAAAAAAAAAAAAAAGAAGAAAAAAAAAGTGCTGTTTATATTTTTGGCAGATATCTGCAGGGAAAGGAGGTTGCAAGGACTGTGTGGACCTGGCCGCATCCTGCCCAGCTCCGAGTGAAGAGGCAGCTTATGGCTGCCTGGGGTTTCCCTCCTTGATTTCCAAGTTATCACACCCATCTCTGCAGCAGCTCACCATAATGCCTGGGCACCTCTCAGGTGCTATGCAAGTTACCTTAAATCAAGTGCTGGTTTAAGCTTATTAGTCATCATTTCCCATGAATAACCTTTACAAAATTAACAGAAATGTCTGCAAAGTGGTTTTCAATTTTCTAGTTTAAGAAATAGTCTTTCCTTCCCTTCCTATTTTTTTTTTTTTTTTTTAATAAATCCATAGAGCAGTTCTGTCATTACTGTGCTGGCTTTTTCTTTTTCAATGTAACCACCAAAATTGGCGACGCAGTACTGGGAAAACAGAAAACGTCAAGTTTGTGTCTCATAGAACATTTCCCATTTCCAGCCAGCTCTGGGCACCACCCAACAACGTGACCTTCATGGGGAACTCAGCCATGGTGTGACCAAGGGGACATCACCCAGCCCTGAGCAGGGACTCGAGGGAGCTTTGGGGCATTGTGGGGTTACTCACACCCGAGAACATCATCCCTGTCTCCAAAGGCAGTTCAGGCAATGAAACAGGTTGTCTCTTTGGAGCTCCCTCCGGTGGAGGATGCCCAACCTGGCCAAGGTAATTTGCTTCAAGTTGATGATATGAAGGTCCTTCCAGCTGCTATTTCTGCACACAGGACCTCAACCACCCCTGCCCCTCACTGACAGCTGAGTTAAGCCATTTATGCCCTTCTCTCACTTAGGTGGTTAAAGCTCCCCACTTTCCATAGGGTTATGGGGAGTGTCCAGCACCGTTGGGATAAGCTGAAATAAAACAGCCACAAAAGCAGACTTGGTACTTGTCTCCGAGAGGCAAGGAAGGAAGGCTGAAAGCTTTTGCTTCCTGATAAGGTTGGATTTACACCTCAAGGGGAGCTGATAGTCTGCATCCTATAAGTGACCAGGACTATGACTGTGTTTCCTCGAGGAATAGATAAAGCAAAGAAAGGCATGTTGGCTAAACACAGTGCAAAAGGTTAAGCGGAAGAGAATTTCCTAAAGCTGACTTTGCTTTTAGTCTCAGCTGATGGCAGCTCCTGAGCTATGCATGGGGAGAAATCCTGGCTCCATCCCACCCTGCCTCCCTGCAGCACAAGAGGAGACGAGCATCCTCCAGATCCGATGGCTGAAGGCGTTGGCAGCTCCTTTGAGCATGCAGAAGGACATCACCTGCAAGTCCCAGGAGCCACCGGCTCAAGTCTTGGGTCCACAGCAGAAACCCCAACCTCACTCACCACACCAAGGTGATGGTGTTGGCCCAGCGGTTGCTGCCGACTGAGCAGGGAGGATGAACAAGGGAAGCTTCCCACTAGGTCTGGGTTGAGAACCTAAGAAAATCAGCACGTAACCGAATAAATCTCGTACACGAGTAGTACCAGGAAAAAGCGTGAGCTGCATCAGACAGCTCCTACAGAGCTCTCCACACTTCACGAGCATCGTTCAACATGCCTACGATTTCTCCATTTCCTTTTCAAACCCAATCAATCACCCTGCCCAGCAAAGTTCATCCTTTTCTTCTTGTTCCGGCAGCAACGTGCAAGCATGCAACATCAGAAGGAAAACCAACGCACCCGATTTTGGAGGAATGAGAGCCCCAGGGAGTGTCTGAGCTCAAGCACACCGACACGGGTTGAGCAGCTCGGTGGTGGGGGAAGGAGGAGAGCTCACGGGGTTGCTAGACCATTCATCTTTGTTTCATTAACAGCAAGTGCACGGCACTGGTGGATGCCCCGTGTTAACACTTGTAAAAAGCAGACGGGAGTAAAACCTTGTTAGCAAGATTCCCAGTCAACTGACCTCATCCCTCAGCGCAAAACAATAAAATGGGCTAATTTAGCCTGTAATAAAAAGCCCCACTATCTGAACTTCACAAAAGATGCACAAAGCTCTGCTGTCAAGAGCCCCATTTCTTTGATTTAAAAAGCCGACTTTAAATAGAGCAAGCCGTGCTGGGAGGTTCGCGAGCCTTTTGTGTCCTCTCAAGTGTGTTGCCGCTAATAAATTTCACCAAGAGATAGCTGCCCCCAGCCCCGGCGCGGGCTGACAAAGGCGGCAGCCAGCTCCGCTCCCTTCCCTCGCTCAAGTGTCTATTTGTTTCACTGTTATGGTTACACAGAACACCCAAGCCTCTCTCCTTCCTATGTCAGCATCTGCTTTTTCCAGCAAGAGCAGCGATAACGAAGACACCATTAATTTCCACACACACACCCCCCATGCACAGGCACCGGCTACCGATTTTCCACGAAGCCTTTGTAAGAGAGAGAACTTACAATCACACTGAGAGAGCGGTTTAAAGACTTCACCAGCCAAGTCACTTAGGTTTTTAAGACTTATTTTCAAGTAAAAGGGTATCTTGAGTCAGGGAGCAAGTCAGCAATTGCACTGGTATTGCTTCGAAGGAGAAGTCATCAGCAAGATGTGCTCCAGCCCCAGCCACCCGTGCAGGCGGTGGGGTCGAGGCCTCTTTTGGCATGTGAAGAGCCGGACGCACCTGGGCACACGGGGCTCAAGAAAGTGCTCTAGCAACTCGGATACTTCTTAGCATGCAGAGGCAAGGCGTAGTTGCGCTTTCCCGGTTTGACAGAAAAGAAAATGTCAATTTTTGCCTGGAAATAATCAATATTTCATCCATCAGAAGAGCTAGTTTTTAAAAGGGGAATAAATCACATTTTGACCTTTATTCCTAGAGCTTCCAGTGAAGAGGAAGAGGCAGGACAGCACATTTATGAAAATGATTGTGAATTGCGAGGCTTTTATTTGCTCCACCAAACAGATGTAACTGCTAACTGTCAGGACCAGTAAGAATCTGTCTGACATTTATGGTAAAGCCATTTATGCCTGATGACTCATTTGCTTTATGGATTAAGTTCCATCAAGCCAGTTTAATTCAACTCCCCAGCTAGCTCCCAGACAAGACTGGAAAAGCTCTTCTAGAGCATTTTTTAACACTTATTCTATATGTGTGCAAAAATGTCACATCACTTCCAATGACATCAACTTCAGTAACTTGGAGAAATCGCTGTGGTTCAACAAAACAAACAGCTGGCAAGGATAATCGGAGTGACTTCATCTGGCATTGGCAGCGGCTCCATAAATACTGGGATTCTTCGGGGCTCTCACTGCAACGCACCGACAATTAACTGGACTGTTGTTTTAGTGCGCTACCCCAGAAGTCTTAGGGACTCTTAACATCTGTAAGAATAAACACTGCTTGATATGCTTTTTTAAACTCCTACATTTAAGTTGGATAACAGCAGGCCCAGGATGTACAATAGTCACACACACACAAAAAAAAATCTTAATTATTGGAAGCAATTGGGATGTTGCTGAGTTTTATTACGACAAACTCACTGGTTCCATAAATGCAAATCCAGTCGCGTGGCTTAAGAGTGGCAGAGGTTCAATGCAGCTCTATGATGAAGTGAAAGCTCAGAGATCCCAGCCACCAGCGAGCTTCCAAAAAACCTAATGCCTGTCTCGGAGACAGCCTGCCAGCCCTCAAGATGTTCCACTTGATAAAACCTGTCATCAGCACTTACCCATGGACGGAGGCTCTCTGCTAAGGACACGGCGGCTGCCCTGCTCCAGGGCTCTTTGTCTGCACACGTTGGGGTAAGAGCGGTATTGAGAAG